GGAGAACCCAGAACTTTTCAAAAATACAAATGACCCTTGTATAGTGCACTTCTATCAGATTGAGAAAATGTTTTTAACTCTTTTGGAGTTAGCATCTACAATTCTATAAGACAACTTAGTGTTCTCAAAATACAATTTGCCCTTGTTTGTCTGTCTTTTACAATGTGTGGGTTTAGCATCTATATAATTTTATAAGACAACTTGGAATCAGACTGTAACTATCTTGATTTCTTAGTTTTATTGCTTTTCTTTCCTTTTTTTTCTTTATATCTTAATTCGGGTGGCAAATCTTGCTATCGTGTGTCGACGTAGTTCACCATCGTGTTTCAATATTATCTATTTTATTTTATCACAAATACAATATTATGTCTAAATTTAACTGATTTTTTATTTCATGTTTTTCACATCGTGTTTCTGGTCGTGTCACTTGTATATATATATATAATCGTGTCTTTTAATCGCACATATATCACATTGTATCAGCCATTGTTTACCTCTATATTTTAACTATATTCTCTTCAAAAATATTCCCCTTTTTGCAGTCAGTTGCTCAGGACTGGGCAGTTGAAGCCATGCCAACTTTCATCTTTCTGAAAGAAGGGAAGATTTTGGATAGGGTTGTCGGGGCAAAGAAAGAAGAGCTTCAACAAACCATAACCAAGCATCTCGAGCCAGTAACCGGCGCCTAAAAATATTTTACTATTTTCAAGTCTTAGAAAACAAACGTTGGTACTTTCTATCTCATGCTCACATCAGACTCTGAAAAAGTTCTACAATGTCATGTTGGATACATTTAATGCATAAAAAAAAAATGCATGCTTATGAATTACTATGCAAATCTTACAATATTCATTTTGCCATCTTCCTTCTTATGCATGTTGATTAGAAGGGGCACACACGGCTTCAACTGATAGCCGTTTTAGCACGTTAGGGCACGGGTCTTTTCTGAAATTAGTGTTTGAAATAGCTACCGAGCATCTCTGTAGCCCAATGCACTTCTGCAAAACATTTATTTGATTATCAGTTCCCTTGAAAAATAAAATCGACAAAATAAAGGTGAAAAAGTAGAAAAATACCTTCTCTAGGATGGAATGCGAATCAGGAGCATGGCAAGTTCCTTGCTGAAAGCTCCCACAGGTTCCTGATGGAGTACCAAAACTAGCAAACTTTATCGACGAAATCGATTGTCCGGGCCCACAGTGAAGTCTTACTTTAGGTCCGTGAAAGTCCTGTGTTTTGCCATAGCCTTCGGTTTTCCAGTTCTTGAAATTCGGATGATACTCGGAGACATCTGCACAGACGCTCGTGACTGATCTCTTGACGAGATTGATTTTTGTGGGGTCCCCACCGAGTTCTTCGAAGAGCACGACAAGATTTTGCAACGGTTTTAACCAAGACCGTGGTAGATGATACCTGAGAGAGCATTTTCTATCAGTAGAAGAAATAATTTGCAAAACGACCCGTATGATTTTAGCTTTTAATTATAAAGGTACAAGTCAGTTTCCACTGCATTAAAATGAAATAACCTGTTGATATTAGCATTGGTTTATTTTTCAAGTAGAAACACATGTCTAAATTAACCAAACAAAACCAAAAAATCAAAACAAAAAAAAAAAAAAAGGAAAAATCTTATATTACCATCTCTGAGTTGGTTGTCCACACCCAATTTGACACTTTGTCGGCTTGAAAATGCCCGTGTAACTGCACGCATCACAATTACCAGCAGCATACATAGTCCAATATCGTCCGAGGCTTTGACCGTTGACCCACAGCTGACCTTTCCCCATGCTACTCATGTCCAGAGCCAACGGCTCATTGCCGTCCGGTTCATCAAAATAAGCCTGCAGAAATTGCAAACAGAGTCGAAACTTAAAAAGACGATCCATAATCCACGTCTCTTGTTAACTAGCATCTCGAGAGAGTTTGCCCCACAAATTGTAATGCACCTTGTGCCACGCTAAAGGCTGCTTGTTTTGTGCAATTAGTGAAGTTTTCATCCAGTCGACTGAAGAAACACCCTCTGGGGAGATGAGATTCATGGCTTCTCCTTTGAGCCCGACCTGTTCAAGAGGAGCAATTTACAATGGTTGAGTGGAGATTACAATGTTTAAGTGGAAATCGAGATGTTTTAAGATGTCAGTCACACCTGGTATGTCCATTTTGCCCAAGTCAAATCCCATTTTCCCTTGTCGAGCCCACGCAATGCAACAGGGCCTAGAATACCAGTGTTCCATGTCTCGAAATGTCCCCCGACGTTCTTTAATGGAGGATGAAAGAATGTAAGAGAGTTAACAAGAAATGCCTATTTGTAGTTTCAAATTATCGTCAGTTTTTATTTTTTGCAGGCTGAATGGAAGGTGTGGTTTTTGTAGTTAACCCTTACATATCAATGACTAAATCAAATTGAGTAACTAGCTCTAGCTATGTCAGCTTGCAATAATATCATCCATGCATTAAAGGTTAAAAGTGATAATTTAGAACTAACCGGCAGCCCAACAGCCACACTCAGTAGCGATATCGTGTTCGATCCAGCACGTAGGTTGATTTTATCTTTGAACGTAACTCTCCTATGCTCCCGTGTCCCAAATGCAGAACCTGAACAACGAAGAAAAATATGCCTTCCAAGTGAGCTAACAAATGTAATAAATAAGTTTTCTTTTTTTTTTGGGCCATAAATAAAATTCGACGCGAGTGTCTACCAGAAAGCTCTCCATTCACGAAAACATGCAGAGCGTGACCAGCAGATTGCACAATAAGGGTTGGATAATCACCGCCATGCAAGAATCTCTCTGATGAATCAATATCAACACTGGAGAGAGAGAGAGATAGAGAATTTTATATCATCATATCTTCCATACGAAGGGTAAGCATTTAAGTTAGGGATGATTATTAGCTACCCCTCATTAAGGTTTATCCTTAACAAAAAGAGCTGATTCTTTGAGCAATTTGAAGAAACAGAAACAAAAGTCAATGGGGTGCTTGCTGTAATAAGTGGCTCTGCTATTTGTTTGCAATTATAGGCTAAACTTCATGGGTGGTTTTCTAAGCTTTCAATGGGGTATTTGTAACGAGTGGACCTCTATTTATAATGACGCTTAAATTCAAGTATAGTTTTGTATTGAATCTTTTGAATTATTTGCGTGTGACTAAGAAGGTATAGAAAAAAAAAAATCTCTTGTTAACTTCTTATATAATAAAGATTTATAGATATTAAAAAAATAAATAAATAAATAAATAAAAACTACCTCATAGTGTACCACAGATAATCGCTAGTGTCTCGCGTGACATTAATCTGTTCCAAAAGACCAAGTGCTGAAAATGCCGAGTGGTCGTCATATGAAGACAGATCCTCACTATATGTTTCCCACGAGAGTATTTCGGTATTTGTAGGTAACATGTCCGATCGTGATGTTTGGACTCCAACCTGTGGTATAAACAAAGTTCGGCGTGAAGGGAAAATGTTCAAGAATAGTAGTTTATTATATAGAAGTGGTTAACTATATTAACTACACTTGAGATTTAACCAAATTGTGAAGAAGACAGAAAAGTAAAGTAAATCCGAATTATAGATAACTCCTCAAGGTATTTGCACTTCATTCAAGGGCCCTTTTTGTGTAATCAAATTACTATTTTACTAAAATATACGTACTTTAGCTGTATTGAAGACTACATTCCGGCAATCCGGGAGAATGCTGATTGACCAAGGAGGCAGGCTATAATGCTCGTTATTGAACAAGACTTTAGCTGCAGAGTTACTGTTATAATTCGCAAGAAAGGCCGCACAATCTCCTGATTTTGAGGAGTATACATGAGCCTGGAAGATTTTCGAAATGTTCAGTGGACAGTTACTTAAAGTTCACAACTTCATGAGTATATATACTTTTGAATCGGAGCAAAAACTAAAACCTGCTGAAGGCTTCCTAATGAGTTCACTGTGGGGTCCGCTGAAACCAGAGCTTTCTCGCAGAGTTTAACTGCTTTATGCAGCTCTTTTAGGTGACCATGTTTAGGTTGTCTGGGAAAACCTATTAAGTGCAGAGAAGCTTATGTTCAGTTGGTTTTTCCAGTAAATTGTGTTAGGGTAAAACGAGAGTCGTACAGAATTTCACGGCTGAAGCTCAAATCAAGAAGCGAAAGCCTCGCCAACTATGACTTATAAAACAATGGTAATCACCAACACCACATGAATATAATTCAAACTTACTGAATTTAAGACAATTACTAAAACCGCCCCTAATTTTTAGCATAGCTAGAAAAAAAAAAAAAGTCCATTTTTTTGTAAATGTGAATGAGAAGATTTTATTGGGTGAACAAATTATAGAAAAATAGAGCTTGAATGAAGAGTTCAGGTTACCATATTCATCAAGTGGAGCATCATAATCATAGCTCGTGGTAACAAAAGGTCCTCCAGCCGAACGACCGAAATTTGTGCCTCCATGATACTGTTCAGACAGCAAAATGAGCAAAGTTAAATACATCATTTTATGTACAAAAGTATGTCAAAGCTTATTTTTTAGAAAGCCATGAATCTCAGAAGCAAACCATGTAGTAATTAACAAATGAGCCCCCATTTTGTATGAATTTAGCTACAGCAAAGGCCAAATCCTCTACCGGTCTCTGATGAATTGGATCACCAAAATCTGTAAACCTGATTTAACATGCAATGTAGAAATAATAATGTGCGGGTAAATTAAACAACTTCGTATTTGAAAACTGAAAATTGAGAAGAAAAGGTGGAAAATAAAATTCGCTAACCAGCCAGTCCATGCCTCAGTCCAAATCATGGGTTTGTAAGGTCTGTTTGGGGTGAAAGCATCACAGTAAAAACCGTTGCATGCGTTAATCTACCAAAAACAGCAGCGAATGAGTTATATAAAAGGTAAATAAACCGAGCTTCAGAACTGAAATGTATACTTCAAATTTTCAGGTAACTTTCACTTTCCAGAGGAACTGAACGAGTTATTAAGGTCATATAATCTGAATTCAATTTAAAGGAATTAAAAAAAAATAAAAAAATACGGAAGACGAATACGTATACTTACCACTGGATCAGGGGCATCATCTTCCTTACACATCACCCATGGAACTCCCGTATCCAATTTAACGGCCATATCTGCTGCCCAATTCAAATACTTCTGTCCAGAGGCACCATATTGCTTCCCTAGTGGACCATATTCGTTTTCAATCTGCATAAACAACACGCTATTATCACATAGCAATTCACTCATCAGTTAATTACAGTGCTTATAATGCACAACCCTTAAAAATACATAATGATGAGACTCAGAACAAAACCTGCGAGAGAATAATGGGGCCACCCTGAGAATCATACAGATTTTCACTCTTCATCAAGTTCACAATTTTCTCCGTGAACCCTTTCATAGCCATCTGAATGAAATTGTACACATATATATTACACATCCAAATTGTAACCCGTAGCAGTAGAAAAGTATATAGGCAAGATTTGCTAGGAATTCATCATTAGCAAGTAAAAGTTTTACTGTCTATATGGTGTAATTCTATTGATGATTTGATTAAAGAGGCGTAATTAGTAAAATAATAATCAAATAATGCAGAGAAATAATAGTTGGGAATGATAAGACAACCTTGAATGGTTCGTTATCCGTCCTAAAGCTAATCCCTGGTACATACTTCAGCCAAACTGGAAACCCCCTACACATAGAAAAGTTATGAAAATCAGTACGTATTTTGGAAACACTTTATGAAGAATGTCATCAATTATTGACTGAAAACGGTATATTTGAGACTTTTGAACAGCAAATTTCTGTTTATATTTCTAAAATGCATTATATAACAAAAGAGCAAAAAGCACAGGAAGAGATGATTCAGAAGATTTTAGTTCTCTGATCAAATATCAAACTTATAATTCTCAACCATTGTTGGCTTCCACTACACGAATTCATCGTAATGCGTGGTTTATGCAAAACACTCGAACTACTTCACAATGTGTGTGTGTGTGTGCGTGTTTCTATGATTAGTTGATGACTCGAAGTCTTAATCTAAACATGGTTCCTTACCCGAAATTCCACTCCGCACATACATACGGCCCAATTCGGAGATGAGCGTATAGCCCAGCTTTCTGTATGGTCTTCACAAACCTCACCAGATCATATCTTCCTTCAAAATCATACTAAAACCCACAAACGAAAAAATTACAAAAAATGTTCACTTTCAACCCAAAAATTGAGCCAAAAATAACCCCACTCATCTTCATGAAATACAAGAATACTACCTTGCCAGGAGAAGGCTCATGAACATTCCAGAATACATAAGTTTCAATCACATCAACCCCTCCATCCTTAGCCTTATTTATCAGATCTTCCCACATCTATGACAAAAAACAAGCAAAAGAACACAAATCTCATAACAAAAGAAACAAATAAGTGTAAAAAAAATGCTTTAATTAAAAAAAAAAAATAAAACAAAAACAAGAAAAAACATCTTGCATTAGTACCTCAGGTGTGCTTCTGGGGTAATGTATGGAGCCAGAAAAGAGAATCCTTCTTTGCCCATTGATAATCAAGGCCCTTTTATCATAAGTCACACTACACTTCACAAGCCCACATCCAAGAAACACCACCACAATCAAGAAACAAAAAACCCACTTCGAAATCGAATCACATTTCATGTTTCAAGCCTCTAATCAACAATTAAATCCCTCAAAAATTGCATATATGCTTAACCAAAAATACAAAATAAAAAATTATAGTACAAAATGTAGGAATCTGACACTCAGTTTGACAAGAATAATGTGAGTGTGTGTAGCAGATGGTGTGTGTGTGTGTGTGTATATATATATATATACAGCTGTTGTATGTAGATTGTAGAGCTTGAGCAAGCACTGGTTGAGTGAGTGAGTGACTGTGTGTTAGCTAGCTCGCTCACGACTGACAAAAGGCAGGAAATTTGGGGGTGATGAAAAAGCATATAATAATAAACAAATAACGGAAAAATTGTTCACAAGAGTATGAAAAAAGTAAGCGACTAATAAAAGGAAACATGACATGACAGTGACAGCTTGGTTGGATCCAGCAAAGGGATTTTTTTTAAAAAAATTAAGACGTTTGTTAATGATAATTAGGGGAAAGCTATGTTGTAATAATAAGACTTTCAATTTTGTTGTGAGCCATCGAATGGCAAGGGCTGCAAATGAGCGGGGACGAGTTGAACATTGGTCTTATTGAAGAGAATTGTTTTTTTTAGCTGCTCGAGTTCGAGCTTGGTTCGAAAATTTTCAAGCAACTTTATAAAATTACCAGATATATTTAAATACTATGATACATAAATATACAAGATATTTTAGTAATTTACAATATATCTCGAGCCGCTCGACAATGCAAAATATGGGCTCGACTCGAGTTCGGTCAAATTTGAGCTCGAGCCGAGCTTTGACTCGAGCGCTCGCAAGCCGCTCGACTCGTGTGCAACCCTATGGATGGTACAACTTAAAGAGTCATCCACATTTATTTAATCCACACTTATTCACAACTAATCGATTAACACGTGTCCTGTAATAAATATACTTTAAACATGTGTCAATATATTGAGTGATAAATGGCTCAATGAGAAAATTATTCGCTCCATATAATATATAAGGTGGATTAATGCGAAGCATACGTAGTGCGTGTTTTGTGCTGTTTTAATAAGATTTAAGTAGATTAACATTTGTGCAAAAGGCTAATGCATCAATTAATGCAGTATAATATTTCAGATTTGTATGAGTAAAAATTATCTACTTTTAAACACCTAGATATATTGTAAGACTTTAACACTATAATTTTTTCAAACAATTATACAATTAAATATTACAAAGCAACTTCATTCAAGAAGCATATGCGTGTGTTGATATTGGAACGGATTTTTTTTTTAAAAAACACTTAAACAACATATCTTATTTGTTTAGATGGAAACCGAAACCCCCTTTCGCCAATCTCACGTCGCCGGCCGGGCTCCTTTCGACCCCGGCGATTCCTCTATTCCGGTTACATTCACTGCTGACTTTCCCCCACTGGAGCGCGGAACTGCCCTAGTTTCAAAACGACACAAATCCCTAAAACGCTCCAGAGACGCTCTGGAGAATTCGGACTCCCCACGCCTCAGCCAGCCGCCGCCTAGGGTTCAAGGTCCCCTGCCATCGCCAACTACTTCTGATCCCCTGGAGAAACCGATACCTCGCTGGACCTTTCGCGATATGGTTAACAAGCACCGGCACCATGTCGATGTCATCTCTGATGATGAAGGAAATGAAGAGGACGATCAGGATGATGTTGTTGCAGACTTGTCTCGACCACTGCCGGAGGTGACGATCTCTAAGCGCTTTCTTGATCAAGTCAATAATGAGTGGAAGAACGTCGTCGTCATTAAGCCGTTCGATGAATCCTTGATGATGGCGTCTCTATACAACCGTCTCACTAAGATGTGGCCAGCCATAGCGGGATGCAAGATGATGGATCTTAAGAATGGCTTCTATCTAGTTCACTTTCGGCTGATTGAAGATGCAGTCCAGGTTCTTACAAGAGGTCCCTATGTAGTGGGCAGTAGCTACATGCACGTCCAACCATGGTCCCTAGAATTCGATGCCATGAAGGAGGAACTCACTTCGACGGTGACTTGGATCCGACTCCCTGGCCTGTCGGCTCACCTTTACCACAAGAAAGTTTTTCTAACAGTGGGTCAAATTGTTGGTAAGGTAGTGAAAATTGATAACCTGACTGTTGCTCTCACGCGATGGAAGTATGCACGGTTATCCGTTATGGTCGACCTCACCAAACCTTTGTGTGTTCAATTCTCGATCAACGGTCGGGTTCAACAGGTAATCTACGAGAGCTCCCAACCATTTGCTTCCAATATGGGCGGATAAGCCACTCAAACCATGGGTGTTTGTACAAGCCAGCTACTCCAACACCGGAGGCCTGTAAAGGAGGGAAGTCTAGTCATCCTGAGAAGGTACCTGATACAACTGAAGATTCTAGCTCTGCTCATACTACCATAGGGGAGGAGCCGACCTATGGTCCATGGATCCAAGTGCCACAACGGGCCCGTCGGTCATACGCTAGGCGTGATATGGGGCTCGACAAATACCACTCGGACCGGGGGGCTGGGTCCCGCTTCGGGCCTCTGGATAATGAGGGAACAGAGGAACAACCTCCTTCCTTGCACGAGGGAGGTCTTACAGTCCCGCCATCCAGGGATTTTGGTAGTGATCAAGGAGGAACGAGATGGCGCACGGTGACTGGTCGGAAAAAGAACGTTGGCAAGCACAATGGTGGCAGTAAAAGTACTATAGCAGCCAACGAACGTGGAAAGGGTCTGAACATCGTAGAGCGGCCGATCAGTGTAACTAAGGGGACTACGAAGAGCCTTTTTCGAGCGGGGCCGTCCAAAATGACTAGTTCGAGTGCGAATGTGCACGGTGGCCTAACCTTCAGCTCCTCAAGTGCACGCCTCGTTCCTACTGGTGCCGACCTGGACCCGATGAAACACAAGGCAGTGACAGTTGTAGAGACTCCAGTGTCGTCCCCCATTGACGACTGCCGTATGCAGGACGACGAGGTCGGAGACGAGAACCTCGAGCCATGGCCCGAGGACGGTCCTCCCCTACGGAATGCCTTGGAGTGCGGATGAGCACGTGAGTATGGATGCGACCCCGGGTGATGGTGTCCAGCCCCTTGCGCAGCAATGATCGTTACTACCCATCTCTCCCTTAGTTTCCTCATGAAGATAATTTCTTGGAATGTTGAGGGTGCGGGCTCGCCCGAATTTCGGGGAGTATTCTCAACCTTTAATAAACAGTATAGACCTGATGTTTTTGCTGTGTTGGAACCTCGTATCGGCGGACTGAAAGCAGATAAGTTTGTGCGCAGCAGCAGGTTTGATAACTCTTTCCGTGTGGAAGCGCAAGGCTTTTCGGGTGGGATTTGGCTCTTATGGACGGATGAGGTGAAAGTTGACGTCCTCGAGTTTTCCCGCCAACTCGTACATGTTCGAATCTGTAGTAATGAGGAGGCATGCCTCGTTACGTTCATCTATGCTAGCCGGAACCTCACGACTAGAGGTCAACTCTGGGAGGATTTGTCTCGACTAGCAGGAAGTATCTCCGAACCTTGGGTCATCGGTGGGGATTTTAACTACCTCCTTCACTTTTCGGAAAAAACGGGTGGTTCGATGAGATATTGCAATGTCAGTCCGGCCTTTAATGACTAGATATTAAACCACAGTCTTCAGAAGGTGGAAACAGACGGGCACAATTACACGTGGATCCGCGTGACCCAACAGGGCCGGGTGGCCGAGAAACTGGATAGATTCGTGGCGAATATACTATGGATGGAGAAATTCGATGGAAGCCGGGTCTACCTCCTTCCAAGGATACTCTCTGATCATTCTCCCATTCTGTTAGATTTTGGTAAGCGCATGGCCCCGTCAATCGGAGTGAAACCGTTTTGTTTTCTAGCTTCCTGGCTCTTGCATCCTGGCTTCCGAGATTTGTTAGAAAGAACATGGGGGCCCTCGTCTAACTTTGAGAAGGCGACTACAGTGTTTACGGAGCAGGCTAAGGAGTGGAATACCAAGGTTTTCGGTAATATTTTTCGCCGTAAGAAGAGTTTGCTAGCTCGCATCCGGGGTATCCAACGTTGTAGTCGCTTCTACCGCACAGATTATCTACGCAGACTCGAAGGGTGCCTTCGCACTGAACTTGCGGCAGTTCTTAGGCAAGAGGAGATGCTTCTGATTCAGAAGGCTACGAGAGACTGGCAATTTCCGGGTGACCGGAATACCTCCTTTTATCACCGACAGGTAAAACACCGTCGCCGCCGAAACCGCATTACCGAGCTGATAGATGCCGATGGCACGAGGGTGACTGAGCCAGAACATCTTAGTCGGCTGGCTAAGTACTACTTCGTGAACATTTACACTAATGAGGCGCCAAGTCGAAGAAGTAGTACTCTGGAGGCCGCACGCCCTGCTTATGAGGATTCTAATGCCCTTGCCATGACGTGTGATATCACGGAGGATGAAATCGTTCAGGCCCTGAACAATATGGGACAACTGAAAGCTCCGGGCCTGGACGGCTTGAATGCGCTCTTTTATTAGAAGAACTGGGACATTGTGGGGCCAACAGTCAGCGCATTCATACGACAGATGTGGCGGTCTGGGGTTGTTCCGGAATGGGTGAACCGTACCCTCCTGGTGCTAATACCTAAGGTGGAGAACGCGATGACGATCAAGCAATTCCGGCCCATTAGCCTTCTCAACGTGGTTTACAAGATATTTACTAAGGTTCTGGTCAACCGAATGAAAGGTACTCTTTCGGACCTAGTTCACCCGACTCAAGCTAGCTTTGTTCCAGACTGTCATATTACCGATAATATCATCGTGGCGCAAGAGCTTATCCACTTGATGCGGGGAAAACGAGGGACGACTGGCTTTATGGTCGTTAAGGTAGACCTCGAAAAAGCCTATGACTTCCTACGGTGGTCCTTTGTTGAGGAAAGTCTTCAGCTAGCGGGTTACCTGGAAAAATTTACTACCGCAGTCATGGCATGTGTCTGGTCCGCCTCAATGCAACTGTTGTGGAACGGGGCTATTGGAGAGGAGTTTACGCCTACTCGGGGAGTGCGCCAAGGAGAT